CTTTTTTTTTTTTTTTTTTAAGCAAGACACATTTTTTTTTCAAAATTGAATTTCAGTTAAATTTTAATCATCCAAAAACACAGGCGAGTATTTTGTTTATTTTTTTAAATTTTGGAAAATGTAAAAATGTAGTTCTTCAAAATTGAGGTGTTTGCCATTTGTTGAGTTTTTTTAGTTAAAGGGTTAGTTCACCCTAAAATTAGCCCATGATTTACTCACCCTCAAGGCATCCTAGGTTTATATGACTTTCTTCTTTCAGATGAATCCAATTGGAGTTATAATAAAAAATGTCCTGACTCTTCCAAGCGTTATAATAGTGGTGGGTTTTATTGTTCAACAGTCCAAAAGAAGTCCAATAAAGTGCATCTATCCATAGTAAAAAAGTGCCTCACACGGCTCTGGAGGATGAATAAAGGCCTCCTATAGCGAATCCATGCATTTGTCTAAGAAAAATATCCATATTTAAAATGTTATAAACTGTTTTCTCTAGCTTCTGCTAACTGTCGTACGCACGTTCACGAGAGAGTGCCTTTCCAGTGGATGATGTAGGGCGTCGGTGTAGTGCAGGGGTTCTCAAACTTTTTTACTGCGGGGCCCCCCTCCTTCTCTAGTCAATTTTGCAAGGCTCCCCTATGCCTGACATTTCCTCCTATACTGTACTTCCGCAGCAAAGAGAAAAGTGTTTATTTTTAAACCTTTTTTATTAACCAAAACATTTGTTTTGCCTAATTATTCTTCTACTGCATGTTATTAAAAAAAATCTCAAAATTCAAACACACTTTAAATCAAAGCTATACTTTATAACTTAAAAGAAAACCCTCTGCTCAATTCTAACTTTTTAAAATAATATATATATATACAGATTTAAAGCTCCTGAATTCTTTACTTCAGACATTCTTTACAACTTCAGAGTACTTTTTCTTAAATAAGTGAACCTGCCATACCAAACAGGACAACAGGGAGATGCCAAAAGACCACTCACTAAACATGTCCCTTTGAACTGGACTGACTGAATATCTACTGTTTGTATCCATTAAAAAAATAACCATACAAATGAAAAATACAGCAAATACATTCTAAATCTGTTGAAACGCATCTGAAGGCGGTTCGACGAAGACGGGATCAGTAAACAGTTCCTCCATCAGAGCGTGTCGGATGCTCATATGTGCATAAAAACCATTCAGCCTCACAAGATCCTCCTCTATGGGTGAGCATCCATTATAAAACACTCACAGGACATTAATTTGGACAACTATGCAAATATATTGAAATTTCACGCAAAAATACAATAGGGATCAGAGCCCCGAGAGCGCGCATAGTGTGTGAATCAATAGCGAACTTATGTGTGCCTAATGTAGCCTACGACTTTGATATTTGACTTTGACATACATTATACATTAGGCACGCGCAAGTTCGTTATTATTACTCTAATCATCTTTACCTTTACATTAGCTTTGCTTCATGCTTCATGCAGCCGAGAGATGTAGTTTACGTGCAGCGGTTGGAAGTTTTGAGCCACCGTTCAGTCTGTATTTAACAGTGCAATGAGGCTTGTTGCGCCGAGTCCGAAGCAATCAATCACAGAACACGAGAGGCCTTGCTTTGATAATTTTAATTTAACACATTAATAATGAAATTAAACAATTATAGGATAATATTTAAATTAATTTTAAGCTATCTCGCGGCTCCCCTGGAGGATCACTGAGGCCCCCTAATGAGCCGTGACTCCCTGGTTGAGAACCCCCGGCGTAGTGCATGCGGCTTTGATTAGTAACGAACGCGGAAGCGCAGAGGAGAGAGCAAAACAAAACACTGGTCACGAATTACAAAACGAGGATTTCAAAAAATGTCGGAGGATTTCAACATAAGCCAAGAGGAGACTGGCTTTCCTTTACTAAAGAAAGGAAACTTTGCTTCCTTTGCTCCTGTAAACAAACGTTGGTTCTCGCGAGACTAGCATATTCTTACTGGCGCTTAGGCTACGCCGACGTCCTATGTCATCCGGCTTGCGCGTACCACAGTTAGCGCAAGTTAGAGAAAACTGTTTATAGATATTTGTAAATCATGGGGTAATTTTCATTTTTGGGTGAACTAACCCTTAAACTTCATTGTAAAATGTTTCCTCTTTAATGATCTGTTTACTTAAGGTACTGTGTTAGACATTAAAATAATAGTTCACAGGAAAATGAAAATGAGCTGAAAAGTTAATCACCCTCAGGCCATCCAAGATGTAGATTAGTTTGCTTCTTCATCGAAACAGATTTGGATAAATTTAGCATTACATCACTTGCTCACCAATGGATCCTCTGCAGCATTGGTCTCAAGCTCAATTCCTGGAGGGCCACAGCTCTGCACAGTTTAGCTCCAACCCTAATCAAACACACCTGATCCAGCTAAACAAGGTCTTCAGGATCACTAGAAACTTCCAAGCAGGTGTGATTTGGAGCTGGTTGAAGCTAAACTGCAGAGCTGTGGCCCTCCAGGAATTGAGTTTGAGATCAATGCTCTGCAGTAAATGGGTGCCGTCAGAATGAGAGTCCAAGCAGCTGATAAAAATATCACAATAAACCTCAAGTAATCCACACAAATACAATCAGTCTTGTAAAGCTAAAAGCGGTGTTTGTAATAAACAAATCCATCAAGACATTTTTAACTTAAAACCATTGCTTACAGCAGTCCTCTATCCATAATATTGCTTTCTCCAGTGGAGCAAGTTGTCTCCTCTGAATCAGGAAAGACATATGCACAGATCAAGCACTGTTTACAAGCAAAAACAGTCAAAACAAATATGTCTGTGGATTTTGATGTGAGAGGACAACAGGGCATGGACTTTTTCAATAGAGGAAGTGTTATGTATTATATGTTATTTTGGCCAGAAGCAATGGTTTAAAGATAAAAACACACAAATGTGCAGCTTTTCACTTCATAAAATGTTAATTGATATACTGGAGTTGAGTGGATTATCATAATGTTTTTTTTTATCAGCTGTTTGGGCTCTCATTTTGACATCGCCCATTCAGAGGATCCATTTGTAAGCAAATTAAAGTTTAATAAGTTTCTCCAAATCTGTTCTGATGAAGAAATACCCTCAGGCCATCCAAGATGTAGATGAGTTTAAATCAATTTTCAGCTAACATTCAATTTTGGCTGAACTACTCCTTTAAAACAGGTTTATAGTGCAAACAAAAGTTTACCATGTTAAGGAAAATTATGTCTGCTTATTTTCAGATGGAGATAGAAAAAATAAAGAAGATTGTACAATCAACATGAAATAAATTCTGGCATCCTGAACTGGACTAATGGCTCCGCTGTCGCATCACGAGTGGAAAGTGACCTCCAGATGGAGGGACGGATATCGTTCACATCATCTTTACATTCACTGACTTACTCCACAATTTGTAAGATTCAAATATTTGCACATGATGAGGTTTTTTCTAGGTTTAGAAAAGTGTAATTATGACAGATGTATATGTTTGTTTTCCTCTTCTTCTTTTTTTTTGCCAACAAAAATGATCGAGGCCTTTACTACTGTGCTGGATATGCAGTCTATCACTATCACTATCACTTATTGAGATGTGCAGTGGATTATGCATTCAATACTACTGAGTCTGTATAAATGTTGGGGGATTATGTTGTTTCCTTGTTTTTTTACGACGGCTTAGTTTAAAAAAAAAAAAAAGATATTATGATCTCAGCAATATTCTGTCTATATTAGCCTCTTTAGATGATTATCAAATGTATGACATACTCTTGTTTCCATAGTGATGATGTATTCTGATTATGTTGAAAAGGGAGAACATTTCTTTTTGTTTTTCTCTAACATTCCTATCCAGGGTAACACTATTGTGCCTGTTAAGATTTTTTACAAGTGTTAATACTGGGAGCTCTCTTATTATATAAATATATATAGATATATATGTGTATACTTAGATCTACAGCATGATATATTTTTATGGTCTATTGATTGTGACATCATAAAAATGTACTGGGTTTGTGTATCCGTGTTTGGTTTAAAACATTCACACTTCCCTAGAAAATAAAAACTGGCTTCAACAAGCAGCACTTCACCGTAAGAATGGCAAGAAATCCATTTCACAATTTAAGCTGCACGGAGTGCTGGTGGGTTTGTTCTGCAGTTATGCCCCCTTGAACATACAAAAATTAAATGTGCCCATTCAGGCCTCTTAACCCTTAATCTGAAAATCTATTTTTAAAAGCATTCCTGCCCAAGGATTGTTTGTTTATCTCTGTGTGAGAGTGGAGTTGCTGATGCAGTAGGATGACAGGTTGACCCCTAAAGCAATAAAAAGGCATGTCTTTTTGGTTTCCATTTTTAAATGTCGGATGAGTATGTTCATGTTCCTTTGCAGCAACTTTAAAGGATCTCCTGTGAAAGTACATTGGAAATTAGTCATCTCTGTTGTCTGAAATTTGGTAGAACACATTCCATTTTATTGTCTTAAGATCTGTTGTGCACATTCAGCATCTATCAAAAGGATTTTGTTTACATGATTACAAAGTGAATTGCATGAGCTGAGATTTCTTTTCCCCAAACTAAATAAATATGTTTATTTACAGAGATTGTTCTGGTCTCTGTGATTTTTTTTTTATTAAGGTGTTCAGAATTTTTATATAATATTTTTCCTCCCTGGATAATCATAAACCGTTTACTTTTTGGAGTTTGCACAATTTTTATGTTCTTGAAGTCTCTTATGCTCACCCAGGCTGTATTTATTTGCTAAAAATTACAGTAAAATCGTTGGCGCTGAAAGCCTTGTGGGCAGCGAGTCGACATGTAGCACTGTTGCTCTTCGGGTGTCCCGTGTTTGTGTTCTGGCTTGTGGACCTTTCCCGATCCCGTCCCCCCGCTCTCTCCCACTTCGCTTCCTGTCTAACTACTGTCCTATCAAATAAAGACAAAAATGCCACAAAAAAAAAACAAACTGTAAACTCAGTAATATTGTAAAATGTTATTACAATTTAAAATAACGGTTTTCTATTTTAATGCCTTTTAATATATCTATTTATATATATATATATATATATATATATATATATAGTTTAAATTCATTTTTGTACCTCATACTGACAAAGTGAAAACTGAATTTTGGAAATGTCTAAATTTACTAAACAGAAAAAACTGAAATATCACATTTACATAAGTATTCAGATCCTTTGCAACAACACTTGAAATTTAGCTCAGGTGCCTCCCATTTCTCTTGATCATTGCTGAGATGTTTCTACACCTTGATTGGAGTCCACCTGTGGTTAATTAAATTGATCGGACATTATTTGGAAAGGCACACACCTCTCAAAGGCCTCACAGCTAACAATGCAAATCAGAGCAAAAACCAAGCCAAGAAGTCAAAGGAACTGCCCGCAGAGCTCAGAGACAGGATTGTATCGAGGCACAGATCTGGGGAAGGCAACAAAAAATTTCTGCTGCATTGAAGGTTCCCAGGAGCACAGTGGCTTCCATAATATTCAAATGGAAGAAGTTTGGCACAACTGGGACTCTTCCTTGAGCTGGCCTCCTGGCCAAACTGAGTAATTGATGAAGAAGGACCTTGTCTAGACTGGTGACCAAGAACCTGATGGTCACTCTAGTTGAGCTCCATGATCATATATGCAGATTGGAGAAACCTACAGAAGGACAAACATCACTGCAACACTCCACCGATCTGTAGCTCTTATAGCGGTGTGGCCAAACTCAATCCTCTCCTCAGTGAAGATGCATGAAAACACACTTGGAATTTGCAAAACAGCACCTAAAGGACCCTCAGACTGCAGGAACAAGATCATCTGGTCTGATGAACCTCTATGAATTCTAAGCATCATGTTTGAAGGAAACCAGCTCCGCTCATCACCTGTGGAGTACCATCCCAAAAGTAAAGTGTGCTGGTAGCAGCCTCATTGCTGTATTTCTAAAATTCTGTTTTCATTTTGTCATTATGAGGTATGGAGTGCAGACTAATTAGGAAAAAAAATGAATTTAAACGATTGTAGTATCAGGCTGCAACATAACAAAATTGAAAAAAGTGAAGGGAGTCTGAATACTTTCTGAATGTTCTCTATCTATCCATCTATCATCTATCTATCTATCTATCTATCTATAAAATAATTAAAAAAAAAGCTCAAAAGAACAGTATTTGAAATCAATTAATGAAAGTGCAGTTTAGAAAGACTTCTATGTAGCCCTCATTAATTGTAATAGTGGTATAGGGACTTGCAAATTGAACAGAATTTCCCTTTAAATTATTTACTTTTTTATTATTTTACTAAACTATTCTATTATTTGACTAGACTTACAAATCCAAATCCATTAAGCTTAATGTCAGCAGGTCATGTTTACGCAGCCTTTTAGCCCCCTGATTGACGAGTTAATTAGAAAGGACATTTATAGAGATTTCATAATTATATACTTAAACAGGTCACGAATGGCAGGAAACTATTGGAAACTCTCCAATCAGCAGAGCTGGACTCAGACCAGATCAAAACATGCTGAGACACATGCTGTGAAAGACACACGTTTCCATCTGCCGAGCTGATCAGAGCCAGTTTACATTTCCATAAGGGTCAGTCCCTGCAGCACCAGGAGAGAGCATGCCCTACCAGATTATGCTCAGTGCTGTGTTTTTACAACAGATAAATCCAATCCATCACTGATCTTATGTAACAAAGCCAGGCAGATATCAGGATTGTCTTGTCAGGTCAACAATAGTTGACCTGTATGAAACAGCTGCAGCCATTCAATCAAGTCAAGTATTTATAGAGTACACATAGCAAGTTTAAAAAAAAAAAAAATAGAAGGAATAAAAATAATAAATGAAATACAGTAGATTGGGTCAAGTTATTATTTTTTTATTATTAAAAGTAGATAGAATTGAAAAAGAATAGAGTATATGCTAATGTTAGAGGGTCAAGTTTTTATATAATAAAAGAAAACAAGTACAGAACAAAAACTGAAAAAGAATATTTGCATTTAGCCTACTCTGATTTTAAATGTGAGTGCTTATTGCTTGCTTAAAGACATAACCTTTTTTATTGACAATAATACATGTTTCATCAAATTACCAAATATATTTAGTTTTGAGAAAGTCATATAATTCAGAAAAAGTAATTTAATTGTGTTCAGGAGTCAAACCTTAGCGCAATGATGCAGCCACAACTCGACAGCATAATCGTTTGGTGAAAGAATTGCTTCATTTAGTAAGTCAGCTGACATCTCACTAACTCGAGTCTTGGCACTCTCATAGAGTTGCTTTGTGCTCTTTCCTAGAAAGCCTTCTTGAACCAAACTTGTGACTATCAATGGTGTCCATTAATTTGTGCGGTAATTTGCACTCCTTTTTAAATGCTTTGGTTGTGACCATAATCATAGCGATGGTTTCTCCTGAGGCCTTTTTCACATCTAGGACGTGTGGTACTAGTCAGAATTCAAATTTCTCATAAATGGGAACAGTTTCTGGTAAACTTGTGATGGAGCACTAAAAAAAAATCTGTATATAGAGGTCAAGTTTTAATAATTACAATTTGTTAATGTTTTTAGTTTTTTAAAATAAGTTTCTTATGCTCACAAATGCTGCATTTATTTGATTGAAAATACAGTAAAACAATAATATTGTGAAATATAATTTTTATTAATTATATCAATAAATTATATTGTTATTTTATTTGAATATTCTTTAATTTGTAATTTATTTCTGTGATATCACAGCTGATTTTTCATCAGCCATTACTCCAGTCTTCATTATCACATGATCAGGATTTGGTCCTCAAGAAACATTTCTTAGTAATATTAGTGTTAAATACAGTTGTGCTGCTTGCTCTTTTCAGTTGTGCTGCATTTTATAATTTAATTAATTCTTCCAAACCTTTGATGACTAGTGCACATATTATTTAGCATGTCATTTAATGAAGAAAATAGATGCTTTGTCAAAGCAATTTATCATGGCCTTAGAGAAACAAAAGACCACCCCACTGTTTTAGGACATCATGCTGTTTCCTTTGATTCAATTATTGGATTTTCCAAAGATTTATCTCAAGCACATTTGTCAATCCCACTGTAGTTTGTAACAGCTGAATGTTGATGATAGATAGGAAATGCTTGCATACTACTTTGGAATTATTAATTATGCTTGAGTATTTACACAAATGTTTGATAGTACATTGTAGCTCTGCTGTCAGTAACCTAAATTAACCCTTTCTGGGACAGTGATGATCACTGCAAAAGTTTTTTAATTATATTCAAATTCCATTTTGTTTTATGCAATTTAATTTCATATTTGTTATATGAAATTTTTTTTTCTACTTTTTGTTGACAGACTAAAAAAATGTCAGTTTTGTCTGTGTATCACTGAGCATTTTAGATGCGTATTTCAACAGTAGGCAAAGTGTATTGGTAAATGTCGATACTCTAGTACACAAAAAGAAAATTAACAGTTTATTGATAGAGCATTTTGTTTATACTGATATTATTCTCTTCCCCTAACACCACCACCTCTTCCACAACAAGCAACTGTGAATGTTCAGTTTACATGTAACAGATAAACGTACTGTACAAATATAAATGTATTTATACAGTTTACTGTTGTAGCTGCTGCTGTTTATGGTTGTGACATTGCCCTTGTTCAAAAATGGTAGTGATTGTGCTGGGCAAACTCCATACAGTATATATGCTTTCAAACTTGACTGATTGGCAAGATTCCTATTTCATTACAAAGGCAAGTAGGGTTGCTAAGGTGCAGAACATTTCTGAAAACGTTCCAAACGTTTCTGAAAATGAACAAATTTTTTCCAAAATTTACCAAACAATTTTGTAAACTTTCCCAAAATTCTGAAATGTTTCCGGAAATTGACCAGAAATTGACCGCTCCTTTGCAATAATGGCAAGCCATTTGCCAACTTAGCAGAAATTTGCCAAATTCAGTGAGAATCAACTCATCAGCCATGTCCATTTAGTCACAGTATTTAGTACTGTATTGTGCAAACTATAGACAATTTTACTCTTTTGCGCACATGTGCTAAAACACATGCAGTTTGCTTAAATCAATAAGAAATACAAATCTGATTGAACTGATTCAACAAGAAACTAATTCTTCAGACATTTGAAATTTTGAAACAATTGAAAAAAATCTCATTTGAAAATTACGCCAAAGCGATTGAGAAAAACTGTAAATCTCCATGCAGGGTGCAAACTATAGACAATTTTACTCTTTTGCGCACATGTGCTAAAACACATGCAGTTTGCTTAAATCATTAAGAAATACAAATCTGATTGAACTGATTCAACAAGAAACTAATTCTTCAGACATTTGAAATAATTGAAAAAAATCTCATTTGAAAGTTACGCCAAAGCGATTGAGAAAAACTGTAAATCTCCATGCAGGGTAAAATTTGATCTAAACTAAAGTTGATTTCAACTAAAGCATGTGGACATATTGTGGCATAATATTGTGTCCTTACATGCTACAGAGTGAAAGTTATTTCTCCGAAGTTGAATTTGGCCCCACCGATTAGAGGAACTGACCTATTTTTTGCATTCCAACTACGAGAAGGAATTTTCATCTAGATC